AGCCCTCTTAGCGCTAGTTTGTGTCTTCAGGTTTTGGGCAAAGCGCTTACCGTTTTGGCTGGCTTACTTCATAGCAAGTCCCTAATAGCATCGCAACTCTGTACTAACGTTTTTGTTCACAATGAATAACCTTTACGATAATTATTCCGCGCCCTGTTTTGGGCAGACAGACAGGAGCACAGAACAACAGAAGCACAGAGGCGACGGGCCGAACTAATGGATAAATGCTTACAACCTTAGCTGGCAGGCGTTAATAGTAAAACACCCGACATGTTGTGTCGCGAGGTTTCAAGATTCACAATGAAAACGGCACCAGACTCTAAAACGGTGTTTGCTTTAGTGGCCGCCTCCACCCTCCTTGCATCCCCATGCCTGTGTTTACGCAATTATGCTTTATGGGCCTCACTGCTTAGCGAACAGTCGCCGAGAGTCTGGGTGTCTGCTCTGGTTACAATCAGACACGTTTACAAACAGTGCACCGGGCCATTTAGCACCGCCGCCACCGACCATCAGACCTGCGCTGTGTCCGGAGCGTGCCGACGGACCCAGCGAAACAGAGGCCCGCCGTCTCACGGCGGCGGCGGCGCCGTGATGGGTGGGCCCTGCTGCTCACATCCTGAACATTTATTCATGCTGGAGGAATCCGGTGAGTTATAAAGCTCTTTTTCATTTATGTCCAGCAGTTTCACAGGCGCTCGTCGGCACACGGGGCAGTTCTCGATGCTTTAGCTGCCCGCCCCCTCCCCGCGAATCCCCGCACTGGCGCCATGATTTGTGGCGTCGGGATATTATTGGGGGTTTTCGATTCCCCGGGCCCTGATACATTCCCAGCAAGCCTCGTGCCGGGAAATTCAACCGTATAACGGAAGGCGCCTGATTCATCGTCCGAGAAAAATCTAAGAGCATTTAGGACCACCGAGCCAAGCATCATCAGCACCAATGATTTCCAGAAGTGTTTGTTTAAAGAGGGTGGTGGTGGTGGGGGGTCACGGAGGGGCTGTGGGTTACGGAATGCACTATGAAACTCGCAGAACTGAGCTTGATTCCCGAGCACAGCTAACATCAGTGGCGAGTGATATCTGAACCAATCCTGCACCCCCCCCATAACCCCTGCTCCCCCGTCCCCTTACCAACTCACACTGACCAGCATGGTACAATATCTTCTTTGGTTCTTTCGGTAAAGTCACGTAGAATGAGAATAAAATAATAAATTGATATTATTGTGTTATTTTATTTTATCAATTTATAATTTTATTCTCATTCTACGTTACTTTACCGAAAGAACCAAAGAAGATGAATCCTTGCAGTCACGAAAGCTTTAAATCGAAATGGTACAATATGGTCAAACAGTCTCCATAACTGACATGGTGTGGGAAGGCCTTCAGTTAGCGGTGGGTTGAACAAGGGCTGTAACTGTAACAATATTACTGTTTAGGCAAGACAGGGGCTCGATTGGATTTGACTTCTCTGAATTTCATCAGCAACAGTGCACACAGTCAACAGGGAGGAACCAATGGAGGGGAGGGGGGGCACTGCCAAATACGGGTGGGAAGGACGTCCATACCCTCCGTGTAAACCTCCGCAAGTTGAGAGAAGATCATGATGATCGGGCATCACCTGGGCCACTGCTGTCAGAACTGGCACAAGGAAGTAAGCTAACGAGGTGTGGTGGTGACATTAACGGTGCCGGTGCCGGCCAAGACGACCTTTTAAACTTGACCTCAAGGGCTTCCACAGTCAGCCCGAGGAGCTGCCTTTGATTGGGTGGTGGTGGTGGTGGTGAGGGGGGGGACACACATAACGAACTGCTGTTCATTAAGGGGGAACACATGCCCTCCCCTTAAATTATCCTGCAGAAAAAAAAACCCCAACACTCAACGGTGTCCCGCTAAACAAATACTGCTGGGTGGTCTGGGGTTAGGGCAAGAGAAAGCCACAGACCACATGGGGCCGCAGGTCACGGCTCTCAAAGGCCGGTAAAACATTGTCCAGCATCGTTGTGCACCGTGCCTACACCGTGAGGATGGTGTATAAGTAAAACCGGGAATGTGATTGAATAACACGGCGATTAAAGGCGCTGAGTGACGGGGCCGCCCGGATTGAGTGAGCTCACGTGAATTTCCCGTGTTTACTGTCAATGTGAATTCAGAACGCTGCATCGGTCCTCAAATCTAGTTTTTTGTAATTAAGTTTCAGGTTTGTACTATGACCTACAAGACCATCCCATGAAAGCTGACTCTTACGGGCATTTTTACAGGGTCTTTAACAGGGTCCTTAATGTCCACAAAAATAAAACTGCACACTATTACCGACACTCTGCACACAAAATACTCTCTTGGAGCATGAGTGGAACTGTCGACATCTTGCAATGTGGCCAAGAGTTGGGGACGTCCAAGACTCGCCTACACTGATGCTATAGTATTGTTGGCCCTTAAATGACGAATAAAAAAAATCTTCTCACAGTAATTTTACAGCTAGTAAAATAAATGTTCCAGGGATTTGAGCACAAGGAGGCCTTGCATGGATATTTTAAATGAGACCAATGTTCACGCTTTGGGTGGAGCGTCAATGCAGTGGCTTGCACACCGCGCTACGAATCCAGCCATCCAAGTTAGAATTTCGGCCACGGCTAACGTCGGTGGCGAGTGATATCTGAAGCTCTCCTTGGCCTCCCAGCACCTCCTTCACCGATTCCGCTTCGGTGAAGTATGATCAAAAACAACCATGACCAACACAATATAGGGAGTTGGGGGGAGGGGGCGGAACTCATAAACCCAATGCTATTGGCTGGAAATGCCACATTACGTAGATGTTCACCCTTCACCCGTGCAATGACTTTGCGTGGATTCATTTATGGTGTGTGCTGGCGACGCGATCCTTGAATAGCAGGAGGGAACAGGGTGGTTTTACGTCCCCTTCCGATGGATGGCGCGCAACGGTTACAACTCGGCAGCCCTTCAACGGCAGCGTTGAGCGCTCTCCCCTGCTCACTGACCCGAAACGGCCAATTCGTTAAGACGCTACTAGCACGAGGCATCGATTCGTTGATTAAAGCCGAAGAGTCATCTCTTCAGTCTATCTGTCAGCTTGACACCACTATTTGCTGGACGGTTTATGGGGCCTGTTTACTTGCACGGGGGAGTGAGCTGATGATCTGTTTTTTTTTAAGTTGAACTTACGTGTACAACGTTTTATTGCGTCGAGTCATTTAAATGTTGATTGATGTTATGTTACATACATTTTAATGTGTCCATCTTTGAAGAGCTCTGTGACAACTTTATTGTGAAGGGCACTATACTGAAAAGTAAAGTCTGAGATCTTGCACTCGCTGGTACGTGCTCACGAGTCAACCCTTTACGATCAGTGCGAATGTTAACAACACCGGAAAAATAAAAAGCCTGAGAAACAGAACCGAGGGGATACGCTCAAAACAAGACCAAATAATACCAAGAGATTCTTAAACCCATTACACAATCTCACAGTGGGTGAACCCATCGATTCACTGGGGAGTGCAAATCGTTACACGCCTACGATCTACGTTTCAGGAGATTACTGAGAAGCGATTTGTGGAGGTGTGGAATGACCGGCGTGGGTTTCTGGAATCTTAACCGTGCGGCCCAGAATCAGCACAATTCAAGGGCATTGCACTCATTACACACAAAGTGCTTGCCACAAACAAACCACAATACCTTGCTGATCTCGTCAAGGAGCACAAACCATCATGCGATCTCGGGTCATCCTCGCAGCGGCTTTTTGGCTAAGCCATCAAACAAAGACGGCCACTGCAATGCGTGCTTTCAGAGGCGCTTCTACAGCTGTCTGGAACGCTCTTACTTCCAATATTAGGAAGCCACTGGAGCTACGCACTTTGAAATTTAGATTGAAATCTCATTTCTTTACAACTGCTTTCTGTGTTAAGTTTGCTGTCCTTCCCCTGCACCTCCAATTTAGCACGGTTGGCTACGTACGGCGCGAAAGAAGTTCCACGCACGCACATCACCGGGGCGCGCGACTCGTTACAACGCCCATGCACGGAGCACGAACACGCGGCCGCTCGAGTTCTCTTTCGCATCCGATGGTCGCACGAAGCAGACGCTGCCCAACTTGCCTGCCTCCATCAAACCCCTACGAGACGCGCTCGCCCGTCGGCCGCGGCGTTGCTCACTGCCGCTTTACCGGTTCGGCGCCCGAGACCGGTGGGGGCCTCCTTCGCCAAGCACGCAGCCAAAACAAGCAGCGGGCCCGGCAGGAAGTCTGGGCTCGTCGCGGCGCGACACGCGAAATGGGAGAATCCCAGCGCGGGATGGGTGGTGGTGGTGGTGGTGTGCGGCGGGGGCTCCCACGTACCCTTTACGCCCCCTCATTCCCAAACCCCCCCCACCCCCCCCACCCCCCTCCGGAGTCCCAGACCCCTCATTAAAGCCGCGCCGTATGCACCACAGGGGGCAGGTGGGGGCGTGCGGCTGTGAGCTCGTGATGACAGACTTCTCTCGTCTGGGGCGGGGGGGGAATGAAGGGGGAAAAAAATGCTTCAATCTCGCATCCTTATTGTGGAAAGCAATCCCATTAAATTGTGGACATTCAACATTCCTACGGAGGGGGCCAGTGTCTCCATAAGACGGCCAACTATTGGCTTTGACGTGCGAAATTCCCGACAAAACGGTGTTTGGGAATGGGACCTGACCATGTAGGGTTTTCACGGTCGAGCCACTCCGACACCTTTGCCGACTGTACTGCGATGTCCGACGTTTCACTCCGCTTGCTTTCTGCCTCAATAACTCAATATTCAATTCGCTTTCTGAAGGAAGCTCCCGGCAACGCGGAGCGAAACGAAAACGCCGGGACGAAATCGCACGAAGCGAAAAACGCATCGGAAGGGAATCGTAAGGGACGCGTTCGCGAGCGCTGGCGTCCTTCGTGCGCAGCTTGGCGAGAGGTAAACACTGGACGGTGGCGTGGTCAGCGCTTTACACTGCGCGAGGAACGCGGGCGCGGCCTACCTCCGGACGATTTACCAGCAGCCCGTAAATGAAAACATTTCTCTGCCGGCTCTCAGAGGCGATCCGTCGCAGCTCCAGGAATTCATCGTCCGCGGCCCCGGGAGGAGAGAGCACCTCGCCGTCCCTGAAGCTCACCTGGGCCAGGGAACATGGCGGCAAAAAACGGGCAGGCGTTGTTCAGCGCGCACTCACACACCCGACCCCCCGGAACAAGGTCACGCGCGGCTCAATTGTGAGGCGGCCGTCAAGGTCAATGCACATGCTGGATGTCAGTTGAAGTCTCCCTGCTGCATTGTAAATGATGCGGATTCGCTATTTTGTAAAAAAAAAAAAAATCCAACAACAAAAGGAAACGTCCTTTGAAGCGCTGCGCTACAAGTTGGCCATGAACGCGATGTTATCAAGACGAACTGTAATAATACACCACCGCCACCAAAGGCAGTCGCAAAGGCAGCTAAATGATAAATAAAAACATTGAAAAAAGATCAGACCTGGTCCTTTCCCCCCCTGTCAAACACGAAAAAAAAACCAGCAAATAGAACCACCATAACACGGCGACACCTCGCCAAAAGGTTCCTGCGCAAATCTGTCGAAAGGGGGACAAAAGGGATTGTCGTAAGTTTTCGAAAGTGGCGCAGTGATCCCATGACATCCGCTGCCCCCACCCTGCCCCCTCCCCCCCAGCCCCGTCCTCCTCGCCTCCTCCCCCACCCATGAGTCGGCTCTCATTCTCCATCGCTCGTCAGGCCTTGAGCCCGTGCTGAAAGGCAGGGCGTGAGGCCCTCAGTAAACACGGCCAAGGCACAATCATCGCGGGCCGGCGCGGAGACTGACGTGTTGTGATGAGCCCCTCAGAGTTGAACATTTACGGCTGATGAACTTGGGACAGCCTCATTGAGCAGCTGCCGGACACGGCCCGCGCGTCGCCTGTTAACGGCTCTTCTTTTAAAGCGTTGTTTTTTTTGTCCTTCGGAGGTCGTTTGTTAGTGTCGCAGGGCCTCATCTCCCGGAGCCTCTTCATGCGGCACGCGAAAAAAAAGCACGCTCACTGCCGCTTTTGGCGAAAGGGAGAAAAATGACAAAACTTGTTTTCTGTTCACGCGCCGTGTTTTGACTCCTCGCTAAACGGTCACTGATTGCACGAGTCGGAGCCAGCACTTCTCGAAAGGGAAGAAACTACAAAACAAAAATGGGCCGAAAAAACCCCAACCTTTTAGCATTTGTTCAATAAGTAGATTAATGACGTGAACGTAAAAAAACGACAATAGACCAAAAGCACGCGTGAGCGCTAGCGAGACACACTAGCGCCAGCGAGACACACTAGCGCTAGCGAGACACACTAGCACTAACGAGACACGCTAGTGCTAGCGAGACACACTAGCGCTAGCGAGGTGGACTAACACTAGCAAGATATACTAGCGCTAGCGAGACACACTAGCGCTAACGAGACACGCTAGCGCTAGCGAGACACACTAGCGCTAGCGAGGTGGACTAACACTAGCAAGATATACTACCGCTAGCGAGACACACTAGCGCTAGCGAGACACACTAGCGCTAACAAGACACGCTAGCGCTAGCGCTAGCGAGGTGGACTAACACTAGCAAGATATACTAGCGCTAGCGAGACACACTAGCGCTAGCGAGACACACTAGCACTAAGGAGACACACTAGCGCTAGCAAGACACACTAGCACTAACGAGACACACTCGCGCTAGTGAGACATACTAGCACGCTAGTGAGACAAACTAGCGCTAGCAAGACACACTAGCACTAGCGAGGCACACTAACACTAGCAAGACACACTAGTGCTAGCGAGGTGGACTAACACTAGCAAGATATACTAACACTAGCGAGACACACTAGCGCTAGCGAGACACACTAGCGCTAGCGAGACACACTAGCGCTAGCGAGGTGGACTCGCACTAGCAAGATATACTAGCGCTAGTGAGACACACTAGCACTAGCGAGACACACTAGCGCTAGCGAGACACACTAGCGCTAGCGAGGTGGACTAACACTAGCAAGATATACTAGCGCTAGCGAGACACACTAGCGCTAGCGAGACACACTAGCGCTAACGAGACACACTAGCGCTAGCGAGACACACTAGCGCTAGCGAGACACACTAGCGCTAACGAGACACACTAGCGCTAGCGAGACACACTAGCGCAGCGAGACACACTAGCGCTAGCGAGACACACTAGCGCTAACGAGACACACTAGCGCTAGCGAGACACACTAGCGCTAGCGAGACACACTAGCGCTAACGAGACACACTAGCGCTAGCGAGACACACTAGCGCTAGCGAGACACACTAGCGCTAGCGAGGTGGACTCGCACTAGCAAGATATACTAGCGCTAGCGAGACACACTAGCACTAGCGAGACACACTAGCGCTAGCGAGACACACTAGCGCTAGCGAGGTGGACTAACACTAGCAAGATATACTAGCGCTAGCGAGACACACTAGTGCTAGCGAGACACACTAGCGCTAACGAGACACACTAGCGCTAGCGAGACACACTAGCGCTAGCAAGACACACTAGCGCTAACGAGACACACTAGCGCTAGCGAGACACACTAGCGCAGCGAGACACACTAGCGCTAGCGAGACACACTAGCGCTAACGAGACACACTAGCGCTCGCGAGACACACTAGCGCTAGCGAGACACACTAGCGCTAGCGAGACACACTAGCGCTAACGAGACACACTAGCGCTAGCGAGACACACTAGCGCTAGCGAGACACACTAGCGCTAGCGAGACACACTAGCGCTAGCGAGGTGGACTAACACTAGCGAGACACACTAACACTAGCAAGACACACTAGCGCTAGCGAGACACACTAGCGCTAGCGAGACACACTAGCGCTAGCGAGGTGGACTAACACTAGCGAGACACACTAACACTAGCGAGACACACTAGCGCTAGCGAGACACACTAGCGCTAGCGAGGTGGACTCGCACTAGCGAGGTGGACTCGCACTAGCGAGGTGGACTAACACTAGCAAGATATACTAGTGCTAGCGAGACACACTAGCGCTAGCGAGACACACTAGCGCTAACGAGACACACTAGCGCTAGCGAGACACACTAGCGCTAGCGAGACACACTAGCGCTAGCGAGGTGGACTCGCACTAGCGAGACACACTAACACTAGCGAGACACACTAACACTAGCGAGACACACTAGCGCTAGCGAGACACACTAGCGCTAGCGAGGTGGACTCGCACTAGCGAGGCGCACGAGCGGTGGGGTGGGCAAGGGCCAGCGAGACGGCCCTCGCTGTGCGTCTCACCGCGACGATCGCCACGGGCTCCCGGAGGCGCATGCTCGGCTCCCGGAGGCGCATGCTCGGCTCCCGGAGGCGCATGCTCGGCGCCTCCACGGCCTGCAGCAGGCGGTGCAGCAGCAGGGCCAGCGGGGCGCTCCCTGGGCACTGACAGCGGAAACAAAACCAGCGGGCACCAAACGCTGAAAGAGGGACAACGCAAGGCAAGTATATATTTCAACGAACAAAACATTCTTACAAAATCCCCGACGTGAAAATCTATCCCAGTGACACCGTCTCACGCACAACAAAAACAATCCCACCCGTATAGCCTTCGGAGACTGTTGGGGCAAGTGCTGTTATAGCGAGCAGCACCTATGAAAGCCGGCACGGCACGCGAGGGGGTGGGTGGCCAGCGCCACAGTCGGCCGCCTTTGTCTCCCCAGCGGCGATGTTTACTACACACCGCACCAGGTACTCATTTGAGGCTGAGCCGACCTAGGGGGGGAAAGCCCAGGAACAGGTTCAGATAATCGTCGCCGATATTGGCCGGGAGCGGGGAATCGAACTCGGGTCGCTGGGTTTGCAGCGCAGCGTCACTAACCCCTGCGCCACCGCTTACAGCGCACACCCACACACCCACACACCCACACACGCACACACGCACACACACACACACACCCACACACACACACACGCACACACACACCCACACACGCACACACGCACACGCACACACACGCACACACACACCCACACACGCACACACACACACACGCACACCCACACAGGCACACCCACACACGCACACACACACCCACGCACACACACACGCACACACACACACACGCACACACGCACACACACACACGTGCGCTCAGAGCACTGCATCGTTTCGCTTAACGATTTACAAAAAAGAGCGAGCTACGGACAAATCGGCTGGAGACAGCCCCCGCACTAGCCCCACGTTAGCCCGTCCGGCCATCCGCTGCGGGACACAGACGGAGATGACACCGACAGCGACGATGACCATGAGAGGAAAGCGGTTCTCCGGGGGGGGGGGGGCGATGCATTCTCGCTTGCTGGCTCTCAAAGTATCCGATGATATAGCGGTGCGCGCTCGGAGGAGGAGGAGGAGAGAGGTGGCGCCCCTCTGTGCAGGTGCCTTGGCCTCGTGTGCCTCCAATCAGCGCTCGCACATTCCTGCAATGACCTCACTCCCGGGGCCACTCCTAAACACCCGGGCTCGTCGCCCTCCAGCTTCCCCGTCTTGCCAGCCGTGCAGATTGCATGCAGCCGAATGCGCTGTTTGCATTTGCCCCCCGGCGGCCGTGTTATTAAGCGGAAGGTAATCGTTTTAAGCATAGTTCTGCAAAACATCTCACGATGCCGAAGGAAAACGGGCAATTCGTTTGTACAAAGCCAAGTATGTGACATTCAATTTCCAGTTGGATTGCTTGGAATATAGGGTGCGATGATTTTTTGAGCGAATACATTATTTAAGGTCAACACATCATGCCAAGCATTCGAGAAAGTTATGCAGAAGGTGCCATCCCGGAACCACTTCTGAGATAACCTTTAAGTGATCTTTCACCCACACCAGAAGTGCCACAATTTCCCACATTTCTCGTGATAGGGGATGTTTATCACATCATGGCAACCAAACCAATAAATGTTATTTTTAGATCAAGGAAAATCTTGCTAAATTAAGTGAAAACCCCAATTTTAATTATTTCCCCCCCCCCCCCGTATAATTCATCGCTGACTGGGCTAGGACCATCGGCTCACTACACTTGATAACCCATTTTAATCACAGGTGGTGGAAACCTGGATTCAAACCCAGGATTTCTGACCCCTGAGCCACCCAGCCACCTCGATACAACTTGGGACTTAAACGTTTCACCACCATGAGAACGTGACAGTTGAAACCCCCTCCCCCCCGCCCACCACCAGCGGCCAACTTTGGCTCAGCGGGAGGTCACTCATGCTCCTCTGCTGTCCCCACAGTCTGGAACTCCCTTCACCCAACGATCCACACCATGGACCTCCCTGGACCTCCCTGCACAAGTCCAGCCTCATGACCTCCCTTTTCTTTCTCTCCGACGAAGAGCGACCGCGTCGCTCGACAGAAATAAACCATACACCGCCTGTTTCTTTCCAGCGTCTTGAGATGCGATTACGTTTAGACCCCCATGTAAAATCCAAACGTCATTGCATTGCATATGAGGGTCTTGCACAGCGCAAGATTAGCAGGGCTGGCTACGTACGCTGCGAAAGAAGCTCAACATACACACGTAACATCTAATCCCCTGCCAGGTGTGGAGCTGCTCGCTGTGCTTGCTCACCCGCACACAGGTGTGGAGGTGCTCGCTGTGCTTGCTCACCCGCACACAGACGAAGCTGTGGAGGTGCTCGCTGTGCTTGCTCACCTGCCCACAGGTGTGGAGGTGCTCGCTGTGCTTGCTCACCTGCCCACAGGTGTGGAGGTGCTCGCTGTGCTTGCTCACCCGCACACAGACGAAGCTGTGGAGGTGCTCCTCCTCATCCTCCTCCTGCAGCAGCAGCGAGGTCCCCTGGCCGTTGTGCGTCGCCACGGCAACGTCCCGTTTCACCTGACGACGGAGGCGGGGGGGGGGTGGCAGACAAAAATTAACTCGTGGAAAAAAGTTCCACAAACGACTTTTAAATCAATCGTAATTACGTTACTACACGTTTATTTTTGATATACATATAATTTTGTATTCAAGTTACAATTATCAGTTAGTTTTTTTCTGGTTGGGTGGGTGGGCGGGGGGGGGTGCTTTCTGAAGTGACCCCTTGGGAGGCAACGGGGTTAAGCCTGACGTAACCGCACAGCTATTTTTCTTCTATTCCACGTTTACCAAAAACACGACACCTTCCCCCCCCTTTCTCCGGCTGAAACACAAGCTTCAAGATAGCACAGATACTCGCGTGAGAAAGTGACCGTAATCATTTAAATTTACATTCTCGTTAAGGCATCAATCACTGTCACGTACTCGGTGTAACGGGATGCGCCTAAAATCGGCAATTACCTGCGCCGCGAGACGCGAAAACCAAGTGCGGAGGTTCCGCGCGCTGAAATCCTGCACGGCATGCCGCACTTAAACACACGTCTCCTTTACACAATCACAAAGCCGGGTGAAAACGAAGGCCCCCGATGTAAACACACGCAGTAGTGACCGCTCATCTCCCACCCTCCCATCGTCTCTGAACCCCCCGCGCTTTGCCGTCTTTTTTTTTTCTCCCTGTCTCCGGGAGGTAAGCCGATCCTCCCGGTGTGTTCAGTCCCCACGTGCTGCCGGCAGTTGCCGGGGCCCAGATCCCTATCGGACAGGAAGCCGGGGGTCGCAAACAGCGGCACGACACAATAGGGGGGGGGGGGGGGGGGGTCCGAGCGAGTCGGTAGGGGGGACGGCGGAGGTTGTGGGGTGGAGGGGGGGGGCGTGCCGGTGGTGGTGTAAGCGAGAAGGACAGGGACGCTGGAACCCGCAGGTACCCGCACGGCCGCCACATGAAAGGGGAGATCGCGCTCCAACGCCAACCCCTTCCGGAGACGCGAGCCCGCTCGGGGGTTACAAGTCCGCTCCGGGTGACTTCAAAACGCAGGCACGCAAATCCCCCATTCCACGACCGAGCTTTTATCGAACTGTGCTTCAGTCTCTCTTTTCCCTTGCTCGGTAATTATTCGTTTTGGATTGTGCGTGCACGCTCACGTGACCGAACGGCGTGGCGTCTGCGCGTTTGTTAAAGTTGTTCATTGTTGCGCGCGCGCGTGCGCGGAACGCGGCCTGCCTCACGAACGCGATGAGAACGCGACACGAACGCGGTGTCAAGTGAGACGGGTGACCGGACTAAACGTTGGCGGGCGACAATTAGCGAAGCCAAGCTGCCCCGGCTTGAAGCTCGCCCCCTGTTTGGTCAACACGAGTTGGAATCCAGCAGGCATTCCAACTCGTGTTGAGCCGAGCTGCCAGAACCACGGCGTCACGTTTAGCCCGGGCTCGGGATGCTCGCGTGCGCGCGAGTCCGCAGGCTCCCCCGTGCCCGCCCGTCCGCCCGCCCGCCCGCCCAACTCCTTTTCACGAAACGCACAGCGGTTTCGCGGCTCCTCAAGAGAAGGCACGGCCATTGTGAGTCTGTCAACGCGCCCCCGATCCTACGGGCGGCACCCCGTCGAGGGGTAGAGAGGTTTCTGGAGGGCCGTCACCGCCGCTCCCGCCGCGCCGTTCCTCCACGTCGCGATCGGCCATTCGCGGAAAAGCACGACGCTCGACGGAGCCCGAGACGTGTCGAGTTTATTTTCCCTTTCGCGATTCATCGTCGCCTGCCACGGACTATCCACCGTCGGACGAAGGAATCGCAGAGGCGTCGCTTTCGGCCCTCGCAAGCCGCCGTCGCGGTATTATTATCCGCGCCCACAGAATTGCCGAAGAGAGTTCGCAAGGCGGTTCTTAAGAGTCGTCCTTTAAGAGAGTAGTTCGCAAGGCGGTTCTTAAGAGTCGTCCTTTAAGAGAGTTCGCAAGGCGGTTCTTAAGAGTCGTCCTTTAAGAGAGTTCGCAAGGCGGTTCTTAAGAGTCGTCCTTTAAGAGAGTTCGCAAGGCGGTTTTTAAGAGTCGTCCTTTAAGAGAGTTCGCAAGGCGGTTCTTAAGAGTCGTCCTTTAAGAGAGTAGTTCGCAAGGCGGTTCTTAAGAGTCGTCCTTTAAGAGAGTTCGCAAGGCGGTTCTTAAGAGTCGTCCTTTAAGAGAGTTCGCAAGGCGGTTCTTAAGAGTCGTCCTTTAAGAGAGTTCGCAAGGCGGTTCTTAAGAGTCGTCCTTTAAGAGAGTTCGCAAGGCGGTTTTTAAGAGTCGTCCTTTAAGAGAGTTCGCAAGGCGGTTCTTAAGAGTCGTCCTTTAAGAGAGTAGTTCGCAAGGCGGTTCTTAAGAGTCGTCCTTTAAGAGAGTTCGCAAGGCGGTTCTTAAGAGTCGTCCTTTAAGAGAGTTCGCAAGGCGGTTCTTAAGAGTCGTCCTTTAAGAGAGTTCGCAAGGCGGTTCTTAAGAGTCGTCCTTTAAGAGAGTTCGCAAGGCGGTTCTTAAGAGTCGTCCTTTAAGAGAGTTCGCAAGGCGGTTCTTAAGAGTCGTCCTTTAAGAGAGTTCGCAAGGCGGTTCTTAAGAGTCGTCTTTTAAGAGAGTTCGCAAGGCGGTTCCTAAGAGTCGTCCTTTAAGAGAGTTCGCAAGGTGGTTCTTAAGAGTCGTCCTTTAAGAGAGTTCGCAAGGCGGTTCTTAAGAGTCGTCCTTTAAGAGAGTTCGCAAGGCGGTTCTTAAGAGTCGTCCTTTAAGAGAGTTCGCAAGGCCGTTCTTAAGAGTCGTCCTTTAAGAGAGTTCGCAAGGCGGTTCTTAAGAGTCGTCCTTTAAGAGAGTTCGCAAGGCGGTTCTTAAGAGTCGTCCTTTAAGAGAGTTCGCAAGGCGGTTCTTAAGAGTCGTCCTTTAAGAGAGTTCGCAAGGTGGCTCTTAAGAGTCGTCCTTTAAGAGGGTTCGCAAGGCGGTTCTTAAGAGTCGTCCTTTAAGAGAGTTTGCAAGGCGGTTCTTAAGAGTCGTCCTTTAAGAGAGTTCGCAAGGTGGTTCTTAAGAGTCGTCCTTTAAGAGAGTTCGCAAGGCGGTTCTTAAGAGTCGTCCTTTAAGAGAGTTCGCAAGGCGGCTTTTAAGAGTCGTCCTTTAAGAGAGTTTGCAAGGTGGTTCTTAAGAGTCGTCCTTTAAGAGAGTTCGCAAGGCGGTTCTTAAGAGTCGTCCTTTAAGAGAGTTCGCAAGGCGGTTATTAAGAGTCGTCCTTTAAGAGAGTTCGCAAGGCGGTTCTTAAGAGTCGTCCTTTAAGAGAGTTCGCAAGGCGGTTCTTAAGAGTCGTCCTTTAAGAGAGTTCGCAAGGCGGTTTTTAAGAGTCGTCCTTTAAGAGAGTTCGCAAGGCGGTTCTTAAGAGTCGTCTTTTAAGAGAGTTCGCAAGGCGGTTCTTAAGAGTCGTCCTTTAAGAGAGTTCGCAAGGCGGTTCTTAAGAGTCGTCCTTTAAGAGAGTTCGCAAGGCGGTTCTTAAGAGTCGTCCTTTAAGAGAGTTCGCAAGGCGGTTCTTAAGAGTCGTCCTTTAAGAGAGTTCGCAAGGCGGTTCTTAAGAGTCGTCCTTTAAGAGAGTTCGCAAGGCGGTTCTTAAGAGTCGTCCTTTAAGAGAGTTCGCAAGGCGGTTCTTAAGAGTCGTCCTTTAAGAGAGTTCGCAAGGCGGTTCTTAAGAGTCGTCCTTTAAGAGAGTTCGCAAGGCGGTTCTTAAGAGTCGTCCTTTAAGAGAGTTCGCAAGGTGGCTCTTAAGAGTCGTCCTTTAAGAGGGTTCGCAAGGCGGTTCTTAAGAGTCGTCCTTTAAGAGAGTTCGCAAGGCGGTTCTTAAGAGTCGTCCTTTAAGAGAGTTCGCAAGGTGGTTCTTAAGAGTCGTCCTTTAAGAGAGTTCGCAAGGCGGTTCTTAAGAGTCGTCCCTTAAGAGAGTTCGCAAGGCGGCTTTTAAGAGTCGTCCTTTAAGAGAGTTCGCAAGGTGGTTCTTAAGAGTCGTCCTTTAAGAGAGTTCGCAAGGCGGTTCTTAAGAGTCGTCCTTTAAGAGAGTTCGCAAGGCGGTTCTTAAGAGTCGTCCTTTAAGAGAGTTCGCAAGGCGGTTCTTAAGAGTCGTCCTTTAAGAGAGTTCGCAAGGCGGTTTTTAAGAGTCGTCCTTTAAGAGAGTTCGCAAGGCGGTTCTTAAGAGTCGTCCTTTAAGAGAGTTCGCAAGGCGGTTCTTAAGAGTCGTCCTTTAAGAGAGTTCGCAAGGCGGTTCTTAAGAGTCGTCCTTTAAGAGAGGTCGCAAGGCGGTTCTTAAGAGTCGTCCTTTAAGAGAGTTCGCAAGGCGGTTCTTAAGAGTCGTCCTTTAAGAGAGTTCGCAAGGCGGTTCTTAAGAGTCGTCCTTTAAGAGAGTTCGCAAGGCGGTTTTTAAGAGTCGTCCTTTAAGAGAGTTCGCAAGGCGGTTCTTAAGAGTCGTCTTTTAAGAGAGTTCGCAAGGCAGTTCTTAAGAGTCGTCCTTTAAGAGAATTCGCAAGGCGGCTCTTAAGAGTCGTCCTTTAAGAGAGTTCGCAAGGCGGTTCTTAAGAGTCGTCCTTTAAGAGAGTTCGCAAGGCGGTCCTTAAGAGTCGCCCTTTAAGAGAGTTCGCAAGGCGGTTCTTAAGAGTCGTCCTATAAGAGAGTTCGCAAGGCGGTCCTTAAGAGTCGTCCTTTAAGAGAGTTCGCAAGGCGGTTCTTAAGAGTCGTCCTTTAAGAGAGTTTGCAAGGCGGTTCTTAAGAGTCGTCCTTTAAGAGAGTTCGCAAGGTGGTTCTTAAGAGTCGTCCTTTTATATGTGGTGAGGAGGCGAGCGAGCCGGTTGGTGAGTAGGCATAGCAAGTGGGTGCGATGATAAGGAGATAGCGAGTTGGCAGGCGGTTGGGTAGGTGGGCAGGCAGTTACACAAATACGAAGGCAGGAACGTTGGTGGGTGATTGGCAGGATAGGTGGATAGGTAGACTATTGAAAATGTTTGTAAGTATAGAAGTAGGTATGCAACTAAGCAGGCAGGTAGAATAAACCACAGGCAGGCCAGTGGGCAGGTGATTTCCAATGAGACACGTGACCCATGCAATATATTCTTCTCTTAACCTGTATTGCAACAAATTACATTTCCTACTCTAATAACCACACTGGGTAGACACTGATCAACTGCTAAGTCGTCTACGCATCATCCTGCCTGGAGGCAGCATGCCAGGGTAAGCTGTCACCCCAGGAATCAGGCAGTCAGGGTCGTGACCCCCCCACCCATCACCCCGCCCCCATCCCCACCCCTACCGTACCAGCACCACAGAGTCGTGCAGGGCGGAGCGAAACTGCAGGGCGGCGTCAGAGAGTGGCACGTCCCCTGCGGACACCCAGCCGACGCGACGGTGCAGAGACTCTGCACGGAGAGGCGACGGGCACAGAGCACACAGCATCATCGTCGCCATCAGCGCCGCTCTGTTATCAGTGTCGCTGCCATAACCATCAGCATCAACAACAACAACAGCCATCATTCGCCACTAAACTCAACACATTCGTCAATAACACCATGGCCTTAAAAGAAGGCTGACATTTCAGTCATTCTTCAAAGCATACATTTGCGTGCTATGAAGAAGGGCCTTTGCCCCGAATGTCACCTATTATATAGTTTTCCCTTGAAGGCCAGAGTGTTATTGACGAATGTGTTGAGGTTTTTTTGTTTGATAATTGTGCTTCTGCACCACTGTAAATGCAGCAGCAGCGTCACCACCAAATGATTTGCTTTGTTTCATACGGCGCCACCGCTTGTGCGAAGTGCATCTCGCAATGGCTAGGCAATCGCAGATAAACGATATTTCATGGGCACATTGCATGACGGGATCATAGAGTAATTGGAGCCATTACACTCTGTGTTTCCTCCGAGTGTGAACACCGTTTTACATGTGTAAGCCTTAGATATACCAGTGCGAGAGCAACATAAGTGTGTGCTTTGCAGTCGTGTAGATTTCTTAGGATTACGATTGTAGGCTACGTCTTAAGTTCATGCAGGTTTTCTATTTAAAAAGCACTCGATTTACCGGGCATGTAACAATGCGTCACTTAGAGGATTAATTCGGCCCTTACGCTCGCGCGGGTACGGATAGACTGTTTCCCATTCGTGCATTTAGTATTGGACTATGGTTCACATCACTTCGGCAGCCACTCGAGGTTTGTATGTATGTACAGTGAGGGAAGAAAGTATTTGATCCCCTGCTGATTTTGTACGTTTGCCCACTGACGAAGAAATGATCAGTCTATAATTTTAATAGTAGGTTTATTAGAACAGTGAGAGACAGAATAACAACAAAAAAATCCAGAAAAACGCATGTCAAAAATGTTATAAATTGATTTGCATTTTAATGAGGGAAATAAGTATTTGACCCCCTCTCAATCAGAAAGAATTCTGGCTCCCAGGTGTCTTTTATACAGGTAATGAGCTGAGATTAGGAGCACACTCTTAAAGGGAGTGCTCCTAATCTCAGCTTGTTACCTGTATAGAAGACACCTGTCCACAGAAGCAATCAATCAATCAGATTCCAAACTCTCCACCATGGCCAAGACCAAAGAGCTCTCCAAGGATGTCAGGGACAAGATTGTAGACCTACACAAGGCTGGAATGGGCTACAAGACCATTGCCAAGCAGCTTGGTGAGAAGGTGACAACAGTTGGTGCGATTATCCGCAAATGGAAGAAACACAAAAGAACTGTCAATCTCCCTCGGCCTGGGGCTCCATGCAAGAGCTCACCTCGTGGAGTTGCAATGATCATGAGAACGGTGAGGAATCAGCCCAGAACTACACGGGAGTATCTTGTCAACGATCTCAAGACAGCTGGGACCATAGTCACCAAGAAAACAATTGGTAACACACTACGCTGTGAAGGATTGGAATCCTGCAGTGCCCGCAAGGTCCCCCTGCTCAAGAAAGCACATATACATGCCCGTCTGAGTTTGCCAATGAATATCTGAATGATTAAGAGGACAACTGGGTGAAAATGTTGTGGTCAGATGAGACCAAAATGGAGCTCTTTGTCGTCAACTCAACTCGCCGTGTTTGGAGGAGGAATGCTGCCTATGACCCCAAGAACACTATCCCCACTGTCAAACATGGAGGTGGAAACATTATGCTTTGGGGGTGTTTTTCTGCTAAGTGGACAAGACAACTTCACCGCATCAAAGGGACGATTGACGGGGCCATGTACCGTCAAATCTTGGGTGAGAACCTCCTTCCCTCAGCCAGGGCATTGAAAATGGGTCATGGATGGGTATTCCAGCATGACAATGACCCAAAACACACGGCCAAGGCAACAAAGGAGTAGCTCAAGAAGAAGCACATTAAGGTCCTGGAGTGGCCTAGCCAGTCTCCAGACCTTAATCCCATAGAAAATCTGTGGAGGGAGCTGAAGGTTCGAGTTGCCAAACGTCAGCCTCGAAACCTTAATGACTTGGAGAAGATCTGCAAAGAGGAGTGGGACAAAATCCCTCCTGAGATGTGTGCAAACCTGGTGGCCAACTACAAGAAACGTCTGACCTCTGTGATTGCCAACAAGGTTTTTGCCACCAAGTACTAAGTCATGTTTTGCAGAGGGGTCAAATACTTATTTCCCTCATTAAAATGCAAATCAATGTATAACATTTTTGACGTGAGTTTTTCTGGATTTTTTGTTGTTGTTATTCTGTCTCTCACTGTTCAAATAAACCTACCATTGAAATTATAGACTGATCATTTATTTGTCAGTGGGCAAACGTACAAAATCAGCAGGGGATCAAATACTTTTTTCCCTCACTGTACGTACGCTGAACTTCTTTCGCAGCGTATGTTGCCGACGGTGCTAATCGGAGGTGGGGGGGGGGGGACGGACAACAAATGAAACACAAAAAGCAGTTCTAAAGAAATTAGTTTTTTTTATTTAGATTTAAAAGTGCATAGCTTCAGTGGCTTCCTACATCAGAAGGAAGAGCGTTCCAGAGAGCCGCAGAAGCGCATAGAAAAGCGCGTGATGCGGTGACCATCTTCGTTCGATGGCCAGCCAAAAGCAGCCGCTGCTGCGAGGCTGACCGGAGTTCGCATGATGGTTAATGCTCCTTGACGAGGTCAGCAAGGTATTGTGGTTCATTCGTGGCAAGTGCACAGGAGGTGCTACGTTCACCAACCTGTATGTTAACAGCAACAAATCATGATCCCAAAATCTCGTAGGATGCATGGGGCTGAAAACCCTTGACATAAATAATTATCACACTGCACACGCAGTTCTGTGTTGAGCAACCGCACACATTTGAATGCTTATTGTTGTTAGGTTCTACAAGAATGGGAGTGTTTCACCCACCCTCCCGCTCGTTTGCACTTTGATCCCTGTGCAAGACAACCGAGCCCTAATTGGTCACGAATATTTTCCCTTTGAATACAAGTTCGAAAAACTCCCCCCTCGCCCACGTCTCATCTGGAGTAATGAACGCAACGTCTGTGTCAGAGGCCTGCCAGCAGCGTCTTAACACGTTGAGTGTTACCACAAGTGGCGAAACATCGCAGCAGCAGCGTGTTAAATTATAACTTACTGCCCTCCGGTGAGCCACTGCTGGATTAGCGAAGCCGCAATTACGCGTAGTATGTACAATTACATAACTAATATATTCAGTGTTTCTCTTTGAATAGGTGAAGGGCAAATTAATTAATGAACGCTAAAACAAAACTTTTTTTTTCAACCAGGTAAAGCTCACTGACCTATTAGCTCTTTTTCAAAGGCGACCTGCCCACACATGAGAGCTCACTCATGCATGCGAATTTATAGGAGCAGCGAAAAGATTTGAACGCATGTTTATAAATGTGGAGAAAATCCACTCTGTTCACCACGATGAGAATATTAAACTTGCATACCAAGCAAGGGAAACACCATCTCACCACTGATGCATTATATTCTTGGTTCTTTCGGTAAAGTCACGTAGAAGGGAAACAATAAAATAATAACAATTTTCTTGCTGTGGTTTTCACACCTGATGATGATTGCTTATGTTGCAGTCGAAACGTCGTGAGAATTGTATTGTTTTACATTTTTTATTATTGTATTGTTTCCCTTCTACGTGACTTTACCGAAAGAACCAAGAATATGAATCCCTGCAGTCACGAAAGCTTTAAATCAAAATTTCACTGATACATTGTTACACGAATATTATTCAAATGTAGCACTGCTGCAGTGATTTTTACGCTGCGCTATGAAACCGGCGACCTAAGTTGGATTTACGGCCACTGCTAACCATAAGTAGCGAGTGATATCTGAAATCGTCCTGAGCACCCCACCCGCCCACCCTCCCACCACGTTCGTCATTCAAACCTACGGAGGTTTGTATTTTTCTGCCGTGTCACTGTTGCCACGAAAAGTTAATGCGAGAAAAAAAAAACCCACGTCGAAATGAGTTTAATTACACAAGTACTTCCAACACAGGAAGGGCAATTGAGGGGTGTCGCATGGGTTAAGCAACAAAACACTTCCTGTTATTGTATTTTGTTTAAGAGTGACCCTGCGAGTAAACATACGCCGGCTCATTCGCTCACGCTTGCTCCGCTCGCGGTTTCTCGTGCCCAGAGGAACAGCGATAACCGCGGAAGCGAGGACGACGGGTGGTGGCGCGAGTCGCAGGAAGTAACCTCCGCTCGGAGCAAGTCTAATCCGAGTCGCACATCAAAGGGCAATTTGGCCAGATTGAGGGGGCACGCACGCACGCACGCACGCGCCGACACGCGACGACGGGAAATCGTTCGTCTCCATGGGAGGAACTGGGCGGGTGGCGCAGCGGTCGCAGCGAGCGACTCACACAATTGGAATGCCGAGAGGTCAAATCGCGGTTGAGAGTCGACTTCATTCAGAATCCCTTTCCTCTTAGGCTCGGTGAAACGAGTGCACAAGCTGTCGCTCGGCGGGAAGGCAGAAGTGGCGACCCGATGCAGAGAAGTGGCTCTCACCAACGCGAGTTGAGAAAAAGCCCAAAATGAGACCCTTAACTTTTGCTCGAGAGATTAAAAATATTCGCCTCCTCTTGAACACTGCCCACATACCCCGCGGCTTTTACCCTATTCGTAGAGCATCTTGCAAAGTGCTCGCATTAAGATTCTAACCATCCTAATCATCAGCCAATGATTTTTCCGCTGCTGGATGAAGGCCCTCCTCCGAACCGTCAAAATCCCTTTGACAACCTGCACCTCGGCGGGCTTATGAGCATCGTATGCCTCATCTTTCCCTGCACTAACAAACAAAAAAACCACCCAACACGTCCGCCAATTGCACCGTGAGCCATCTTCAGCGCATAAACACCTCATGAAACCTCATTGAAAACACAACCCACGTACAAGAACCTGCACTTAAAAATGCCCTCTTCTCTGAACTCTCCAACTGTGCATGTTCTACTTGTAATTTGTACGGCACCATAATGCGGAGCTGTATTTTTATCGCCTCTAACTCCGAACTCTATTCTCTTTTACGATGAACGGGTGTGCTGTGACGCAGTGGTGTGCCCACCGTGCCATAAACCTCAGTCTTATTCCTAGACATACACGGCTAACATCAGTGGCGAGTGATATCTGAACAGGCACCTGCTGCCCCCCCCCCCAACCCCCAAGCCCACGATCACCTCATTAACCCACACTGACCAAACAAATCCCATTACTGACACGGCGTGAGGAGGCCTTCATCCAGCACTAATCTGACAAGTTTGTCTGTTGTCCTTCCCCCGCACCTTTGATTAGCACGGTTGGCTACGCACGGTGCAAACTAAGTTGAGCATACATACATACAAAGGGCTGTGCATTATCTTTGTTATCATTACTTTACCATATTACATCGCAGCGTATGATGAGCGACAGTATGGCCACACTGACCAAGCAACATTTGAACAAACCTCGTCGTCGCCTATTCCCGAGCGCATGCTCATCCTGTTACAAGACATCGCCTCATCAAAGCGTGCGGCCAAACGTTGATGTGGGGGATTGTTTGACGAATGGGCAAGAACGGCGATGAAGCGATTTCAGTCTCACCGTGGGGAGACCGAAGCCCCCTCTCTCAGCCACAGCACGCGCTCTTGGTTATGGATCCTACCGAGAGCCTCAAGACTAATAGCAGTAATACCCACAACGGGTGGCTTCTAGACGGCAGAAGGCGCGATTGCGACCGAGACCTGTATATCCATAATTCAGGTTTTTTTTTTGGGGTTCGATCGCGTAAATATATAAATGTGTCGTTAATCCCCGCCACCACCCGACACAGCCAATTATTAAGGTTAGTCACGTGAACAGAACGTGCCAATTCGTCACTAGTACGGCACACCGATGTGTTGGACAGCCAAGCCACCACATTAAAATCTGAGCACGACGTTTCGCCAATAGCTACAAATAGCTTCATCTCGTATGTCGGACGAAGCCTTTCGCATGCATCGTTAGTCCTATGTGTTTCCAAGGCTGCATGCACTTTGCCCTCGGATGAGTTTGCCATTGCGTTCCATGAAAGTGTTGGGATGGATTTAGCCTCAAGATTGTTCACAAACGAAACCAACTAAACCAAAGCGCCAATGTCGCACCTCGCGTGACATGCGACCATCTCTCTCTCTCTGCCGAGTCTTTATGTTTCTGCTTTTGTTTCCTCCTTCACGGCACACGCACGCACTCACTCCTGTCACCCCCACCCCCGCATATCGCATCGGCGTGCATCCGACCAGCGCCTCGTCCTCCCCCGCGATGTCTCCGCCATCCCCCAAACGGGCACGGCTGTCGCCTCTCCCGACAAACGAAGCCCCCCTGGCGCACCCCCCTAAGACTTCCCCTCCCCAACCCCCCCCGCCCCCCCCCCCCCCCAACTGCGCAGCCACCCCGCCCACCCCCTTCGAACCGCGTTGTCGTGACTCGCTCCGCTGCACGACATAACAGCGACAAAAACAGAAAGCTAAAATCGGCCGAAGATAGGATCTGCGTCCCGCGAGATGATGGCGCGTGCGAGGAGGGCATCGGCGGGGATGCGCCTGGAAATGCCAGCGGAGGGCCACGTCTGCCTGCAGCCTCGGCTTGCTTTCAAGCGGCGAGCGCGACCCCAACGTCCCAGCGGTTGAATAAACGCCTCTTTCTTTCCCCAATGCTTTCCTTTCCCCGTTTCCTTCCACAATCCCTTGTTGTTGTTGTTTTTTTTTCGTTTCGTATTGCAAGGACCTTAAATGGGCGCGCAGATTGTTGGAACCGCGGTGGCAGAAGAAGGCCGCTTGCCTATCCCGTGGACAGTGAGAGACGAACGGTCGGGGTGACTCACGCCCGCTTCGAGAGACTGGTGAACAAGCGGGACCATGAAGCAGGATATTTTTTGCTGGAAATCTGTGAAAAAGAGCTCCGTAGCTCATCGGATTCCTCCAGTCTAAATACAGATTCTGATTCTTTAGCAGCGAAAGGAAACCACCGCTAGAGTCCAGGAGGAAACATCATGTGGAACAGGGGGAGAACGTACAATCTGCACGCAGAAGGTGCACGAGTCGGGAATCGAACCCAGGACCTTCTTGCTGTGAGGCACAAGAGTCAACAGTGCATCATCCTGCTGCCCATCGTGAGCATCACGTGACAAAGGACGTATGCAGCGAAACCCATGAAGTACGGTGGCGCTCAAAGTCACATTTGCGCATGTTGACAAAACAAGACGACTTGAATGGTGTTGATAAATAACGGAATTAGAACGTAAACAAGTTTTGGGATGTGGATATCACGGCGAATTGATGAAAAACCCTCGATAAAAGCCAACAGTAAATGTGCAGAGTGCCAGAGCAGGTTCAGGGCACCAGAGGGGCGAGATATTAACTACCTCGCCTGGTATACAGATCGTGGGTTCGATGTCGACCCTGAAGCCTGTATATTTAGAGTCTGCATGTTTATCTCTATCCCCATGGTCGTGTAGATTTTTCTGTGGGTCCCCTGGTTTTTTCCCTCCGCATTTAGAAACGTGTTTCGAGTACTTGACTGCAATACAATTTCACGTGATAAGCCACTTCGTCAAGCTATCATTTGTGGCCAGGTCGCTTCTGAAAAAGAGCTATATATCTCAGTGGGCCTTAAATGGAAAAAATAATAATAGTTGATTTTATATTTTAGGTTCAGAAGACGTCTAGAAAAGGCCACGTGGCTCAGAGGGCAGAGCACTGAGCTGCCACTGCAGAGACCCTGGGTTCAAATCCACATTTCAGTCATCTGTGACAAAATAAATCGGCTTCTCAAGTGTAGCGAGTTGATGGTCTGCACACAACAACAAAAACCCCATCACGTCAAATTTGATTCTGCACTTAATTTGGCTGAATTCCAGCTCTGCTCGGGATGTTGGGGAACAGGCCAGGAGGTAGAAAGAGGCTGATGCCGCTCAGTGACTTGTGCACAGGCGGTGCGCCTATGCCGAATAAAAATCAGAGCGCTCGATCAAATAGTGGGGGAGATAACTTGACACAAAGAGCCTGCCCTTCGGCAGAGAATTCAAGAAGAATAAGATAAATATAACATAATCCGGTGTTTCTATTGTTTCATTTCCCTACGTAGCACATTACTGTAATGCACCGGTAATATAATGCCTCTTGATGCTGTGCCAAACGCTAAGTACTCTCTTACTCCATCAGTCACGGCTTGTGCCCTCAGAATACCCATGAGCGACTTTAAAGTAAAGCGTGGCATCTCGACTTCGTGCCCCTTCACCGCAGAACAATGCAAGCCCCTATTTAGCGTTCTCGTGACGGGAAACAAAAAATGGGTTGCTCGATATGAAACCACTGGGGCTTGGTTTGATTGACAAAGCGTACAGCCCCTTGTTAATCCACTGCTGGATGAGGGCCGTTCGACACCGCTTAAGTCGTGGGAGGGGGGTTATCGTGACCATGCTTTATCACGCTGGTCGGTACGGGTTGGCATAGGCAGAGAGCGTAGACGCTGGAGCATAGGACAGGACAACACTGTCGAGGGCAGCGACATGGCCCAATGTGGTAGCACGTTCGTCGCTTGTCGCAGAGGTTCATAGTTCGAATCCAGCGGCCACTCCAATCAATAATGCGGGTGAAGCGACCGTAAAAAAATACACGTGGTCTGCTTCACAGCAAACGTCAAGGGTCCCGGGACGCCAGTGACAAGAGTAGGCCATCGTGTGCTGGCGTCAACTGTCCACATTTTGGCAAATTTGAAAAATTACCTGTAAATCACTCGACAGACGTTTCCATAGCAAGGGTCCTGCAAAAAACTTGTCAGGAGCCTCCTGAATGTAAGATCCAACCAGACCGAGTTAATTCCGAACGACTTTGGTCAAAGGCAACAGACTGATTGACCTAAGCCCGATAAATGTGTCGTGACTCAGAATGCGTTAATGACCTCAACTCAGCTCGCCCCCCTTCGCCCCCCCCCCCCCTGGCAAATGTTACAGATTTCCGCTTTCAAAGTGTGCCATTTCCTGTGTCACGCTCTTCCAAAGCAGCAACACATCCTAAATATGAACCACTAATCCAATCTGCGCTGGAATGCAATTCCGCAGAGCCGCCAATTACAGCGGGGAATTCTTTTCACCAGCACTCGGGCGTTTTCATGACGTTAAATAAACCTAGGAAAATTGATAAATCGCCTCTGTGTGTGTATTTTTTGAGCATGTGTGCATTGTACATACAAAGTGTGCACGATGTGTGTGTGTGTACGACATTGGGGGACCGGTAGTGTAGCAGTTAGCGTGCTGCACAATGAACCCGGTGATCCCAGTATGATTACCACTCACAGCCACCAACACCTGTGACAATAATCTGAATCGGTGTTGGGCCTCCTCTAGGTCGACTCAGACTTAAATAACTACCATGTGCGGTGCCTAAACATTACCACTCAGGAGACAAAGGCGGGCGGACATGGTTCTGACAACCCACCCCATCGTGTGCCGTGCCGGCCTTCATAGATGCTCTCTGTGAAGGCTATACGGGGGATCTTTGTCTCTGTACAGCATTTGATGACCACGGCACACGACACAAAGCGTGGAACACGCGTGTCGCTGCATACCTTTCATGATGGCTTCCGCAGCGTACAGATCCTTTTTGTAAGTCACCTGGACGGAAAACAGAGATCAACATTATACACCGACTTTCACCACAAGTTCCTTTTTAAAACCAAGCGGTTATTTAATAAAGGGCCGGAAAAAATACCTCACTAAAGCATGCCCGTTAGTCCACGGTAATAAGGAACCCAAAGACGAAATGAAACGGCACAAGAGGGCCTTTGGAGACGTCTCGTAAAGATGAGCCTCATAAAATATACTCTACGCTGCCGAGTGACATCGAGAGTGGGCCTTTAAGTGAGAACGGCTGCTGAAAAGTCAATTACAAGCACAACGTCAGCCTCTGGCTTTCCTCTAAAAGTCTCGTCGCGTTTACCCAACTTGCACTGCGCATCGTCTTCTGTCGTACGGCACGTCGCAGAGAAAAGCCAGCGACTTTTGGGATGGAAACGAAGGTTCTAGAAGCGATGTCTCGAATCCCCTTCGCCGTTTGACGGCGCTGGATCGCGCCCCGCTAAATGCTCTTGATGGGCGCGTGGTAGGTGGCCACGTGAGTCCCGTTTGTTGTTCTGCTCTGCAGTCTCAGGTGGAGCCGTCTTGCGTGGGAGACGGGCGAGCATGTCGGGGGTGCGATGTCCGAAAGCGATCGATGATTCGCTGTGTTCCAGGTTTTATGGGGAAGCGAGAAGCCAGGAGCGGGTTCAGTGCGCTACGCTATGGAGCCTTTACGCAGTCGAGGGGGGTGGGGGCAAGCATTGGGGCGGGGGGGGGGGGGGATTGCAGAGCGAAAGGGTCAAGAGGTCAAAAGGAGCCTTTTAAGCTCGGCTAAAGGGGACAAGACAAAACTGTCCGTCAGCCGTGCCAGGCTGGCTAAGGGCAGAAGCCTCGTGTTTTGTGGTGGCACGGGAGGGAGAAGTGGTCGAGCGAGGAGAGGCTGACTGCTGGCCAGGAGGGGTAGAGGAGGGGTAGAGGAGGGGGTAGAGAGGGCTTATGTACCTTCCACAGGTTGTCGGGGCCATCCAGCAGGCGAGCGCGTGTGCCCCCGTACTGCAGAGCCACGTGCAGACACTCCGTGCCGACGTCCAGCTCCTCTTCCGAGCACTGCCAGGACACATGGCACGGGAGACAATTAACTCACCACCATCATCGTCGTCATCATAATTATTCTTTTTAATGTAGGTGGGACAATAGTTTGCACACTGAACTCTGAAACTGGCGGCCTGGGTTAGACTTCTGGGCGCAGCTAACATATCAATCAACGGGAAGTGAAGCTTACACAACGCCCATGACTGACACGACATAAGGAGGAGGCCTTCGGCCCACAGCAGAATGATAAAACTATATATAATTTAATCGTCAATTACAATGACTTTATTTGCACAGGAACACCTCATTGAGTCTCAACAGTGTTCCTTCCTGCATTGAGATGTTTCGCCAACATTTTTTTTACGACTGTTTGGCTTGTGGGAAAAAATTGGAGCACCCGGAGAACACCCATGCATGCTGGGAGGTGAAACTCTGCACAAAGAGATTACAGCATCTATTAATAAACTTCCAAAGCCAGCACATTCCGCATCCCCGAGACTACGATGCCTGCCATTCCCAGGCAGTCTCCTCCATTCACTATCCAGGCCTATATTCCAGTGTATTAACAGGTCCAATCTTCCACAGTACAAACGGGGCTAATCTTCAGAAAATGCTAACCAGACTAACCTTCCAGAGTACTAACCGGCCTTAACCTCTGAGACCTGATGAGACTGGGAGCATTCAGGCTAATTTGATCGCAGCTGCAGAAACTTGCCCAACAAATATGAAGAGGCTGAACTTTTTTTTAGAAATGGACATTTCATTTTGTGCGAAAAGATGCTATAGCACCGAGAGGTGTCACAAATTAGCGTGACACTAATTCGATTATTTATTAGTACTTTCAAACGGAAACGTATATGTGGCATCTTCCCTGAAAGTTGTGGATATGATTCGAATCCTCAAATCCAACTCAAAGTCAAAGCGTCTCCCGGCTCAAAACGACTTTAGGCCGGTGCTCATTTGAACTAGTGGTCACGAGAGCCGGCAGTGGGAATTTTTCCATGGGCCGTGCATCGATTTCGTTCCTATTCATAATTACAAAACGATAATTGGCAGTCCGTTACTCAATCCACTGCTAGATGATGGGCCTCCCCACCTCGTGTCAGTTACGGAGGTTGTTTGATCATCCTTCACCATGCTGGTCAGTGCGGGTTGGTAAAGGAGGCTGCACTGGACCAGCTCAGATATCACTCGCCACTGACGTTCGTAGTGCAGTGCGCTAATCACTGCGCCACTGCTCCTTGCATTGCATCTGCACACTCTTGACTGACAATTGCGAGGGTGCACATTACATAAGTGCCTTGTATTCACAAGAAGAAGTGGTTTATGTGAAGAAGAAAACAGTGTCATTAAGATCAAACACAGCAGATATCCTGGCCCGTATACGGTGAAACGTCAATTATGTACAGAGGACCAACAAAATTCAGTGTTAGACTTGGAGGAAATGGTAAATCAGGGAATGTAGTAATGTAGTAAGTCATTATCATCGGCCATGGTCGATCCACTGCTGGATGAAGTCCTCGCCAAGCTGCGGCCATCTCTCAGTCTTGCGATACAATGATTCATCTAGCACCTGCACAAGAACCATTATCTTCACTGCATCTCCACGGTGGACGTACTCTCGCATGTGTTTTCCTCCTTTGACTGTCATTCCATCGTTAGTCGCGGCCAACGGCCACCGTTTCCTTAAGCGACATGTCCTGCCCAAGCCCAGTTACAGTTCTTAACGGTCAACATTGATGTCTCTAACTTGTGTATGATCGTTAATCCACGTGTTCCTCTTTCTGTCTCAGTAGTATGGAGAAGTGCATTCTTGTACTTATGTAGTGACTGGGAATGTCACTGTGTGGTGCCGGGCCTGCGAGGCCACGGCGGGATGTATACTGTTGTGTGTACACCCCGGATACGGGGTGTAGCATCAGCCTTAGTGGGGGCATGGGTGAGTGGTGGTTAAGCGCGGTGGCACCACACACAGCGTGCGTTGCGGGCTCCCGTTGAGAGAGCGAGAGAGTGTCAGCCAGCTAGGGTTACGTTGGGAGCATGTTACTGTGGCTGAACTGGGGACATGTGACCGGATGATACTAGAGGGGGGGCCACCGGTGGAGGGGGCCAATGGGTGGTCACGTGGTCCGGGAAGAACTCTTGAGAGCCTTCGGGCAAGGGCGAGAGAGATCGAGAAGGTGGGCGGGGCGAGAGGCGGAGCCAGCCCCAGCCCGACCCGATATAAGGGGGGGCCCTGTGAGGGGCTCGGGGTTCTTACTGTTGGAGAGGCAGGAGATCCACGTCAAGCTTGAAGAAGCCTCCAGCCACGTGGTCCGGGACCCAGCTTGTGGTCCGGACCGGGATAGCGGAACCGTGTCTAGTTCCGCCGTAGCGTGTTTAGTTGGGTGGTCACCACCCGATGGTATGTTGTGTTAATAGCCCTGGAGTATGTTGTGCAAATAGTTAATAAACGTGTTGCTCCTAAGACAACGTCTGCGAATCAGTTGGACTCACTACACTTACACTGATCGGGGACTTAATGTTGTCGTTAGATACAGGTTAATGATCGAAGTGGGAGCATTGTAACACAGATCAGTATACCGCAAAACACAATAACTGCTGGGATGCTTTTGCTTTAAACTTGTCAAAAATATCGAGCGAGCAAGGGAAGTGTGTGAAGAGGGATGGGTTATTTCACTGTTGATCTCTCAATTCGCTGGCCCTTATTCAACAAAGTCCAATCCAAACGTTGTTTGCTGAAACACAAATTAATAGCCCCCACACGCCAAACAATTTCTCAAATTAAAAAATTCTTGATCTTTGCAATCGCGTTGGCCATGAAAGCTATGGTTATTTTTCTTTCCTTTTCCACTTACACAATACACAGAATGTGAGTACGGCGACCAAATGGCTCGCTGATTTTATGATATTAACAAGAATGCCCTTTATCTGGCCCCACGTGGGTGGTGAGCTCTCTCCAAAAGCCCCCCTTTATGTTGCACTATCTTGCCTCTCGAGCTGACATGTGACAATCAGCACGTCACACGAACGTGTCTCTCCGTTTGCGTCACGCGTTTAAGTGGAGGGCCCCATTTGCGCGACCTTGGCGTCAAACGATGAAAATGTATTTTTTGGGTTTTTTCCACGCCTCTGAAACATCAGGAGAGCAAACGCTTATTTATTCACCGAGCGCCGATCTCGCCGTAACCGATCGGCCGAACGCACTGACAGGACTGCAGCTGCACTAACAGCGCGTCGTCATCGTGCACCGGAGTAAGCTACAAACGATTTGAGTAAACGTGGAAAAAATTGCGTCTTTCATTAATTCACAGCCGTCCGTGCGAAGCTATCAGGGTTGTTTGAGCATACGTCACCACTCTGGTCATGAAGGGTTAGTGAAGGGGTTGGGGGATGGACCCAGGACTGGTTCACTGATGTTATAGCCATGAGCAGGAAACAAACTCAGGTCGCTGGGATCGTACAGCAGTGCGTGAACCACTACACAACCGCCCTCCCCTTGCTTACAATGGTTATCGACTAATTCCAGTTGGCATAAATGCCGCTACTCGCAGCACGAGTCATGCACGGGGACTACGATTGCACCGACGGGTCTGCTGAAAATGCAGGTAGCGAACCGCCTGTGACAAAACCGGGATCTCAAGTAGCGTAAGTTGGTAGTCTCAGTCCGATCACCATTCACAATATACGGAAATATACTTTAAAAACACCATCATTGACTGAATTACAACGACGGCAAACAAAAAATATTGACGTGACTGTCATCCAAGGAACAATACTACTCTCTGGACCCCGATGGCTGGGAAATAGGTGCCCCCTACTATGTGGATCGAAGAGCACGTGAAGGGATCTTGGAAGTCTCCTCTAACACCCACGTCAGCGGGCCATTCCCTAAGATGGGGTGATGCACTGCTGTGTGCGAATTCCCAATGGATTCTTGATCTCAAGGTATTTTCCCAAAAATACATAATTGGCATGAAATTGGGGGATAAGACAAATGAGAATAAAAACCTAAAATTATGTCCGCTATATTTGCTGCCATTCTGTGAGTTTCCCCAATGGGACTGGCTGTGTGTGATTAAAGCAATTGGCTCGCCCACTGAAAAATAATCAACAACGACACCATCCCATTTCCGTAGCACCTCTCAGGATCAAAACCACATCCGTGATCGACAGTTACTGTAAAAAAAACAACAATTAGGAGATTAAAATCCGATACATAGATCACAGCTCATTGGTCTAAAGTTGAATGCTCCTGAAAGCCTTCTTGATGATATGTTTTCAGGCGGGATTCAAAGAACTGGGCACTCAACTGGCGAACGTGAATGAGTGCGGTGAGGAGTTCCCAAGACCTGCAGCATCATAACAAAAGGTCTCATCCCTCTCGTAGAGCACTTGAAGAGAGTGAGTTTTTTAATAATTCTGAAATGCTGGTCTCGACACAACCCATCCTGCCTCGAGGGGAATCTATAAAATGATCACCGCTTTTTGGTAAATCAACTGTGGTTGTCCTAATGTGGATTTTTCACCAATGGCTCAAGTTCTACAGTGGAGATGGACATTTGCGAATAGCACGATTGGCACAGGCCTGAGTGTGGCGCTGCTGCTACCGCTGCTTTCATCAGGGTTGACGAGTTGATGCAATCGATGATGCACGGCTGGCGCGGAGAGAAACTCCAACACAGGCCATCGGGGCCCGTGTGCATCTTGAAACCGTTTTTTTTTTTTTTCGCGAAGGAAGGCGTCTGCGCGTTTCACTCCAGCATAATATTGCCACAGTCACGGAGCTTCGTAATTACCTTCCATTGAGCAATTGAAAGACAGCTTTATCTTAAAACAAGCCCACGGCGGCGTTCTCACTCGAACTGCAATTTCAGATGTCGACGCTTCCTCTACCACTCAGAAATGGCGAGCAAACAATATTTATTCATCACCGGCAAGCATCTTTGCTGCACTAATCGGGTACGAGAGGGAACCATATTGAGACACTGTGTTTTTTTTAATATTTGCAGTCTGAATACAAAGGTAAGCCTGAATTATTTTTGTGTTTTTTAGTCACGCCAAGTTATTTAAGCCAATGCGTGTTTGCTTGCCAAACATATATATACATCCCAATCACCCCACCATGGCCAGAAATAGAACTCAGCTAGTGATTTTAAATCACAGCCATCTCACCACTCCGCCAATGCTCCATCCTGTATACATGATATATGGCATCTTAAATTGCTGTTCTATAAGGATATGCAAGAAAGTTGTAGATGCAGCCTTGAAGTTTTTATCATCATATTTATTTAAATAAAGAAAACTTTGATAAATAAACAATAAACATTGTATTTTGTTGATCCTGAATGACATTTTGAAAACACGTAAAGAGCACGCCAAAAAATAAATATCTTATATCACCGTTAGAACGATCGTATTTTGTTTTTGTTTTAACTACTGCATGACCTGCAATTGGAGCCTGCCTTGATAGCTGATAAGTCCCTTATACTCGAGGGCAGACACTCTGTGAGAAATGTAGGGTACTATCAGAACGAAAATAAAGATAACTTTGATAATGCAAACAAACAAAAATTAAAATTACGAACACAAAAAAAGACGGCTAAAAATACACCGTATTTCACGCCACACGTACGCACACCCACGCACACAAGGGGCTACTGTTGTCGCTCAATGGCAAGCCATATTCACGAGGCGACACAAAGGAGCGGCTGTGATTGCGTGGCCGCTAGACAAATTATTTGAAATGCACCACAAAGCAGGCCAGCGATAGGGGGTCATGAACGTCGGCAGTCATATCGGTGAGGTGGATCGTTGCGGAATTATCGGTGGCAAACACCCAAGGAATTTCCCCACCTGCTTGATTCGATGCTCAGATCTCTGCGTCAAAACAAACACACGGGGCCATATCGCCGCGAACGGGAAGTTATTTTTTTACTTTTTTTTGGTTGTTCTTTAAACAAAAAATTCCTGTGTTACATCACAAAACAAAGACTCGAAACTGTGTCCAAAGCTGCGAAAGGGCTCCGGTTGGTTTGGTAACAAAGCCAAAGGTGCTACTTTCCTGGCCGCGTAGTCGAGATATTTTCTCCGGGTTTATCTTTACGTCACAAAAGCTTTGCAAACATATGATACGGAGTATTTAAGCTCCGTGTTCTTTAACATTTCGAAGCAGTTGTGAAATCGCAAAGGAATGTAAGCTGAACTATCGGGCATCAAGATTGATTGATTGGCAGTTTAGGAACATTACAAAAGTGTGCTTTGCGTTTTAACAAGTTACGTTTGGGACAAAAGCCTTTGTAAACAGCAGTCTATTGTTAAACATGAATACACGAACGCACAAAGAGAAAGATTCCAAGAAGGTTCCTTCATATCCCCTTGTAAAACGCATGATGCTGTATTTAACTGTGAAATGCATTCCTCATCCACTGCAGTCATTTAAATGACCAAAACCCACGGTCACATGAACCTAACGTTCAAAATGACTGCCAGTGCATGTCATGTTCAACACAAACACCTTTAACCAGACAACACATTTATAAACAGACGACTTGTTGTGAAGTTGTCTGTATGAATCACATGGCTACACTCTGGGGTAGCTACAAACCCCACGTAAAGTTATCAGCCTCGGCTGATAAAGCGTGCAGGAGGAATAACTGATGGATGGAACACAAAGGTAACATGGGATGACGATGCACCGCCATCACTGGGCTCCACCAGACCAGTTCTCCTGGGAGCTACATGGGCTGCATGCACCCGCCTGCTGGAGGAAGCGCTGATGATGATGATGGTGATGAAGCCACTGCCAGTGCATTATAGTTTCTCAGCAGGTGTTTGTGTAAGTCTACGGGTCTCTGTGCGAGTCTATAGGTCTCTGTGTGAGTCTACTGGTGTCTGTGTGAGTATATGGGTCTCTGTGTGAGTCTATGTGTCTCTAGCGCTCGTGATGAAGCCACTGACACTGCTAACAACAGACGAATTTAACCAAATAAAGGTCCCCGAAGAAGGAGAACTGAATCTGATCATGAAAAGTGACGTGCTAAAGAGCACCACGTAGGTGCGTACTACCTGCTGTGACATGGACGGTGGTAGAGAAAACGGAACGAAAAGCTGAACAGTGCACAAAGAAGTATGGACAGAGGCATAATATGGAATTACATTGGCAGATAGAACGAGGAACACGCGGATTAGGGAGCACAGTGGTATAAAGCAATGTTGACTGTTGAGAAAGTAAGTGGCCCTGGGCAGAGCACGTCATGGCTTTCAGGCACGATGGCCGGTGGTCGGAACTAACGACAATATGGCAGCCAAGGGCGGGAACGCGTTCAAGAGGACGTCCACCACAGAGATGGAGCGGTAGTATTATCTCACATGTGGAGGTACCGAGTGAATTGTTACGTCAAAGGACTGCGAGAAATGGCGATGCCTTGGGGAAGCCTCCCTTCCACAGGACACAGATTATGGCTGATGAAGATGATGACGACGATGATGATGATATTCTTAGCTCTTTCGGTAAATTCACGTTGAAGGGAAACAATAACATAATAAATATATATTTTATTCTTTTATTGTTTCCTTTCAACGTGACTTTACCGAAAGAGCTAAGAATATGAATTACTGCAGTCACGAAAGCTTTAAATCAAAATGACGATGATGTTCGGCAGTTATTTCGTTACTGAGCGGCACGTGGCCCGGCTTGCCCCACCTTCTCGTAGGCGTCGTAGATGACGTCAAAGCGGAACGCCTGGGGCATCTCGCTGGCGCAGTAGTGCGACCTCTTGAGCACGTGGTCCAGCGTGCCATCCGGCGAGACGCTCACCACCGTGGACACGAGCGGTCGCACCACGCCGGCCGCCTGTGCGCACAAAGACAAAGATCCCCTGTATAGCCTAAACGGACTGTCGGGCCAAGTGCTATTCGCGAGCACGTATTGAGGCCAGTACGGCGCATGAGCGGGTGGGTGGCCAGAACGCCCGGGCCGCCTTTGTCTCCCTAGCAGCGATGTTTACACACCGCAACAGGTACCCATTTATGGCTGAGTCGACTTGGGGGAGGCCCAGGACCAGTTTAGACAATTGTCGCGAGTGTCGGCCGGGTCGCTGGGTTCGTAGCGCAGCACTCTAACCACAACACTACCACTCCCCACACACACAGACCCACTTACACACAGAAATACAATGCAACCTTTGGTCACGCTCATAAAGCATTACGCTACCCAACTGCGCCGTCACTCCCCAAAGACACGCGCAAAGAGTGCGCGGAAACTGAATGCACGTCCGCTATCGTACATGCACAAAGAAAAAAATAAGTATGTGCACATATACATCCCGTGTACACACAAAATAAATAAATACACACAAATTTACCGTCAATCGGGATGAATTCAGCTAAGCTGTAGCTGTCAGACGTGGAGTATACCACATCAAAATATGCATCATTGCACTCCTTTACATCGCTGATTGGCAGAAGTCTGCCTGCCAGAATTCAGTTTTGTGCTGTGTGCGTTTGTGACCGCACGTGTGCGTGTGTGGCATGCGTGTGTGTGTGTGCGTGCGTATGCGTGTGCGTCATCACACCAAGACTCAATGCCAGTCCTTGATACGCAAAGAGACAAAGATGCACTGTGTCGTTTTACCAACTGCTGGGTCAAGTGCCATGAGCAAGGATCTATTAAGGCAGGTACAGCACACGAGGACGTGGTGTGGTCAGAGACGCACCTTTGCATTTCGATTTATAATTTACGTCTCTTTGTCGATCCACTGCTGGATGAAGACCGCCCTGTACCGCGCTGTTCATTGCTTCAGATTGGTTCGGCCTCGTTTGTGCAATTTTATCTCCACCATGAGCCTTAATAGATGAAATGTACACGTGATAATTTTTTATAAATCCTAAACAATCAAGTCTTGCCTACATGAACAGACCCACCTATGCACATATTGGCGACAGTGGACACTGCGCTTAATCGATGAGCTGACACATCAATAGGGTTCCCTGCTAATTTTACGTACAGCACTTTGGCAGTTCACTGGGGGATGAAGACCTTTCCACACTGTGTCGATTATGAGGGTTGTTTTAAGCATACTTCACCACGCCGGTCAGTTTAGATTGGTTGGGTTGGAGCAGGCACGATTTAGATATCACTCACCACTGATGTCAGCCGTGGTCGGGGATCAAAACTAATCTCGCTGGATTCATAGCGCAGCGCGCTAACCGCCACACCACTACTGTCGTTTGCTTTCATTCATGGATTTAAGTGACGGTACATAATTTGTATTTATTCTCTTAAAATAATAGTCAAAGTTTCAATAGAGGGATTGATTAATTCCTTGAGTGAAATGCACGGTTACACCTCCGTGCCCTCTTAACTCGTGCTCCAGAAATTAAACTGCCTGGTTTCAGTTTGCAAGGAATGTGCTACACTTTCTGGAGGAGGTGATTAAAAAAAAACAAGACACAAGAAGCCATTCTATTGCTGAAAGAAAGCCAAATTGCTTGCAGCTGATGCAAAACCAACACAGCTACATTAACTAGCTGTCTCCCACCACTGCAAACCTCTTACAAACAGGAAATAGAGATGCAATTCATCACATTGTGGTCACAGAATCACGATTAACATATTTTGTGATGCAATAACTTAAACAAATGGGGTGAGCCAGCGATAGCACAGTGGTTGACACACTTCGCTATGAATTCCCCAAACCGAGTCCGATTCCCGGCCACGGCAAACATCGGTGGCGAGTCATCTCTGAATTGCTCCTCCCCCCCACCCCTCTTTTCCGCCCACTCCTCTAAACATCTTCACCAAACCATACTGACCAGCGTGGCAAAGTATGGTTAAACATTCCCCATGACTAATCTAGCGTGGGAAGGCCCCCATCCATCAGCGGATTGACAGAAGTCTCTACAAAAACAACAACTATCATCTATTGATGTGGCCATCTGGAATGATCTTCCTTCCGATATTAGGAAGCCACCGGAGCTATGCACTTTTAAATCTAAATTGAAAACTAATTTCCTAAGACCTGTTTTTAATGTTCAGTTTGTTGTCCTTCACCTGCAACTCCGATTAGCACAGTTGGCTAAGTACGGTGCAAAGGAAGTTCAACAAATATACAAGGCATCCCAATGCTGCATGCTATGATGTCATCTCTCCAAAAAATCTCAGTGCTTCCCTTGCACGCTCTCTCTTACAGCAATTAATATCCAGATGCGTCAATCCGATTGCCAATTCAATTACGTAAGCCACGCATCCTGACCAAGTCTACCAGTTTTCATTGTTGACAATGACTGCAAGAGATGACGGATTAATCTCGAATCTACTTGATTCCCTTTTCCGCTCCTTCGAGATAACATTGGCTTGCTTATGTCCGTGTGCCTGTGTGGATTCTTCCATGCAATGTGAGCATCTATAATAAGCGGACGTTAAACTTAAATCCCAAGTTTTACTTCAGACCATATCATGCACATATTCATATTCTCCCAAACTCTCTAGTCGAGGAAATCAAATATTATTTGAAAACGTGAATAGGTAAGTTTTATTTTTGTTACAAAGATTGCGATGCATCGAGAAGGCGACTGAAAGTTCTGCTCTGGTGTCGTTAATATTCAGCCAGGACCAAGTGGATTGACACAATATTTCCTTTAAACTATGCCTTGAAACATACAACAAACAGCCATAATTATAAAGCAAGTGCAAGAAAACCTTAAGACAAATGAACCCCGGCCCTGAAAACAAACAGCCGTCAAAATGGAATAAACACCAATAAACCAAGGCTTGTGCCAGGTCAACTTAACCTTGCTGTTCGGTGAATTAAGGCTTTCAACGATATAAACATGCGATCACTCAAGTGGCTACGGAATGTACGGACCTTTTTCTCATGGGCACTCCCAATTTCTGACAAAATTGTTTACTGCAACGTGCAGTTGTTTTCCCGCGACTTATGACGGCGTGGGAGGTATGGTAACGAACGTGTCCGTGAAGCAGCGTGTAACTTAAAAAATAAAACACCCCACGCTGGGCAAATATGAACCCCTCCAGTGAATTACCACATTCATATCGCACCTGTCAACAAACGCAGTTAGGGCTGCATTATTTGCGGACAATACGATCTCCAAATCACAATTTATTCACCCATGTCAGACTGCGTCATCTGCAGAGCAACGCGGGAGCAGATAACACAGTCCCATGAAAGCATTGCTGGATTCACGGTGGCCTGCAATTAAAGGATGTGCATTGCGCTGTGCCCGATTCGCCAAGATTAAATTCACACAAAACTCCACGGTCTGACCTTTAACATAATTGCCGTGATGTCTGTGGTGCGACGGCAGTGGCAGAAAAAAAGCCTCAAAAAAACCCCCGCAGAGAATCAATGGTGCCCAAGGTAATCTCTCTCCATTCCTTTTGTACGTACGCAGAGTGCATGTTCGTGGGCGTATCAGTCAGTTCTGCGTCGCCAGAAAGACGGCTCTCTCGACGTGTTAATGAATACGCCGGCACCGCTTATCGCCGCATCTTATCTCGGCAGGTGCGCTGGAGCTGCGGCTTGATTACGGCTGTTCACGTCTGTTATTTGATGTCTGTGAGAAATTGGGAGCAGTTTGTTACCGGCAAAATGGGACAATGTTTCTGTTTTTCTCCCCAGTGAGAGCAATTGCACACCGGGGGGTGCGCATCTTTTACTACTGACGAGTCTCCTCTGCTCCCTGGTTTCATGAGCACCATAAACCGTGGTGCTCATTGTTGCTTGTCAGAATCTTTTTGTACTTTTTGTTTTCTTATTGAGTCATTGTCCTGGTTTTTAGTTAATGAAAAGCTGTTTGGGAGATTTTGCATTTTGTTAAGTGTGTACAGCCCTGGATTGGAAGGAATAATGCCCGGGTAATCGGATTTGTGTACATTAAGTAAATGTATCCAATTGCACCACTTGCATTGAACATCATGGCCTCTCATACAATTGGACCACAGGCTCTCCAAACCATGTCCGTCATGGGCAATATTTGACCACATTTCACCATGCTGGTCAGTGCAAATGAGCGCAGGGGTAGCTGCGAAGACTGGTTGATGTATAACCTGCCACTAGCCTTGGCTGGGAATCAAACTCAGAACGCTGAGCTCATAGCGCAGCAACATTCTAACCACTGCGCCAACACCAACCACCCCAGGGCATTTATCATGGCTTATCCAAATATTTACAAACTGATAATAAAACAAATGATATTTTTTGCTACTTTAGTGATCTCACACTGCCTCAATTACACAGCTTGCGGATTTAAAACCCTCAAGCTTTTTGGCTCGCCAGCTAAATACAGTAAACCTATATGTTAGTCTGTCTTTTCCGCAACCAAAATAAACATTGTCCGCTATTATCCTTTACCATGTACTTTAGCATGTTGAAGTGCTTTAGTCGGGCGGCGAGAAACCAATGGTAGTAATTTTCAAGTATTTCAATGCTCAATCAAGCATTAAGCTGCCTCAAGTTCCATGGTAGTCCTCAGCTAGTGGTATAACTTCCATATTCCGATAACAGACATGTTTGTCCAAAGGCCACAGAATTGACATTCCAGAACGTCGCGATGGCAAGATGTTAACTACCTCGCCTGGTATACAGGAGGTCGTGGGTTCAATCCTGAGCCTGACGCCTGGATATTTGCATGTTCTCCCTGTGGTCGCGTTTATTTTTCTCTGGGTTCTCTGGTTTTTCCCTCCACATTTAGAAACGTGCGTTTAGAGTATTTGGCTGCTATACATTTTCACATAAGCCACTTTTCATTCAGCTAACATTTGTGGCCAGGTCGCTTTTGAAAAAGAGCCAAATAGCTCAGTGTGGCCTTACCGGATAGCATATATTTTTTTAATAGTTTTAGATAGTTTATATTTGAGTCACCCAGAAGGGATGAGAAGCCGAGTTTATTAATAGGATTCGAATTCACCACATTTCAAGTGAGTTGATTGCTTTGCTACAGGATCATTGGGTCACAGTGAGATTCGTCGCACCTCGACACGTCGCACCGCACCACTCCGGAGACTAGTGCCACCCACCCCGACATCCCGCCCGGCCTGCGCCACTGACAGCAGCGTTTCCACGTCCACGAAGGGCCTCACGGCGTCGTGCAAGATCACCACGTGCGGCCGCGTGCCGGGCCGGCGGGCCAGCGCGTGCAGGCCGGCCCTGATGGAGCGGTGGCGCGTGGTGCCTCCCTGCGTGAGCGTCACGCGGCCCTCGCGCGTCAGGCCATCACGCTCCAGGAACGAACTCATGGTCTCCATGTGGTCTGCTGCGACCACGATCACCACGTGCTCGATCCACGGCGCGCTGCGGCGGCCCGTTTGAGGGGGATTGGGGGGGGGAGATGTTGGGGAGGAGACACACACAGACACCGCAAGCACATCGATCATCATCAGCCACCACAACAAATTCACGCATACACAAACACACGGATTTGCACACACACACAAATTGGAAAAAAATGCACACGTTCAGCCGCGTGTATACACCATCGTTAGCTATGATTAATACACGTTCGGATGCATGCCTAACCAATCCATTGCAATCTCTCACAATAACCAACATCATTATCGTACATTTTCAATTCATTGCTGGATGAAGACTCTCCATCTCTTCATTAATTTGCTTATTTCTGCTCACCCTGGATAGGCCCTTTGAGCTAAAAAGTTTTTTTTTCCAAGGGTGACCTGCAGGTCAGTGCCATCTCTCATAACCACAAACAGCATTATCAGCCATGATCAATCCACTGCTGGATGATGGCTTCCACAAGCCGTCACCATCTCTCAAGCCGTCGCCATTTAGTTTCGTCTTGCAGTGGCCAAAAAGTGCACGCAAAATTAATCCACCGAATGCAAAGCAATACGGATTCACATTGCGAATTAAATGCAAACGCATCTCTCGTCCACACAGATCAATGAGCATATTTATTTTCAAGAGTGAAAGCAGCAGTCAGTCATTGACAAAGGGGAATGTTTTTAGTATTGATTTTGTTTATGTGGGTAAGAACATTTCAGCCTTAAGCTGTTTTACAAGAAATGAACGAAGAACATTTCACTAGGGGCTTCGACAAAGAGCCTTCGTTACTGCAGCAGAATGTGCGGGTCTCTGTGCTTGACAACTGCTCTCATATTTATTTGGTATCAATCAGTTTATTTGTTTCAAAACGGATGTATAATATCGATTTCAATTGAGGTCTTGCTTTATAAGTGTTGATGACTAAATTCATGTCCCCAGAGTAAAATTAATTTAGACATACAACAATAGCTAAACTAATTATTGTGATTCTGCGTTGGCAGCAGTGCAAAAGCACAATTGTACTCTGGAGAAGAACCATTGCCTGAAACGTCGCCTATATATATTTTAAAACATTTCAGGCCTGTGTTATTTAGTTTAGCACGTAGGCTTTCGCGACCAATATAATCCATAATATAGGTTTTTTTGGGATAGATCGCGTAAATATACATTGTATATAAATTAACACTGCCATTATATAGGCTTTTTTGTTTGTTAGATCGCATACATTTATATAAAATGTATATTTGCGTGATCTAACTCAAATTCATATAAAATGTATATTTACGCGATCGAACCCAAAAAAAACCTATATTATGGCAGTGTTATTTACGAATGTGTTGTTTTTTTTTGTTTAACAATAGCTAAGCGCAGTGGTAAATGAAATTGACGAGTGTAATCCAGAATCTGGTCAAGAACGTTGCCGATGGTAGAGAAACCTTTCCATAACCCCGCTTTTCATTTGGTCGTCGATTGGTTTGGCCTCATAACGGAAACCTTAGGCGCCATGCACCAATCTATGACGTTACGCACAAGGGAATTGTGACGTCACGCATAAGAGACCAGAAAATTAACATGACGTCACCTCAAACCTGGCAAAAAACATGACTAGTGACGTCATCCAAAAACGGCGAAACAATCCCTAACGCGTCAGGGTGACGTCATTTCCCGAGACTTTTTTTTAATATACACACACACAAACCAAATGGAAGGCGAGAAGCGTGTGCGTGATGATCGGCCGTAGTGACGTCATCCAAAACGGCGAAATACACCTAACGCGTCAGGGTGACGTCATTTCCCGAGACATTTTTTTATATATATACACACACAAACCGAAATGGAAGGCGCAAGCTCTGACCTGAGGAAGGCGAGAAGCGTGTGCGCGATGAGGGGCCGGCCGAGAGCGGCGCGGTACTGCTTGGGGGCGCCGCCGCCCAGGCGCTCACCGCTCCCCGCCGCCGGAAGCACAGCCCAGGCGCGCAACGCCGCGGGCTCCGGCCCGCTCTCGCCCATCGCTTCTGTCTGCGTGCCGCGGGGTCGCGTCGCTGTCTTGTCTGGTTCGGCTGGCAGTGGACCGCGGCTTCTGCGCGTAGCTAGTCGGCGTGGAACACAACGGCAGTGCTCGTGTCAACAGCTGCTGTCTGCGGCGAGCGGTGGTGGAGCGGGGGGGCGCGACCCTGCGCGGCTGCACGAGTTCGAATCCCGCAACATCAGGGACCGATTATCTGAACCGGTCCCGGGCCTCCCTCGCCGAGGTCGACTCGGCCTCAAATGAGTACCCGGCGCGGTGTGCCAAGCATCGCCACTTGGGGAGACAAAGGCGGTCGGGCGTGGTTGCCGGCCACCCACCCCCCTCGTGTTAAGGGTATACGGGGGATCTTTGCGGACAGTGGTCGGTGTGAAATGTGATATCCAGCCCCCTGTACTTTGACACATCAGTTTAGCGCAGTACTAAGGTTACATTTGTATTTAAAGCTTTCGTGACTGCAGTGATTCATATTCTTGGTTCTTTCGGTAAAGTCACCACGTAGAAGGGAAACAATAAAATATATATAAATACACAATAAAATTCTCACGACGTTTCGACTGTAACACAGTCATCATATGATGACTGTGTTACAGTCGAAACGTCATCATATGATGACTTTACCGAAAGAACCAAGAATATATATAGTACTCAGGTTCATATTCTTAGTTTTTTCGGTAAAGTCACGTTGAAGAGAAACAACAAAACAACAAAATATATATAAAACAATAAAAAAAATTCTCACGACGTTTCGACCATAACTCAAACGGTCATCATCAGGTGTGTCGGTTTGCATAAATTTATTTTAAAAAAACGGCATATTTATTTATTTATATATATAAAAATAACGTTTGCGTCACGCGCAACGATTGGCTGTTTGCCAGGACTAGTCCATCTATTTTTTGAAAAGAGGAGGGGGAGACGAAATTTGTTTTTATGTATGCTGTCTGAAAGCCACTGTAAGCGTGAACAATCAATCAAGAACTGAAATGATTTATCAAATCTTTCCAATGATTGCTAAGATAGAATCCATCTTCTCGGTTGAAATTGTCTCTGTGTTTGTATATGTGGATAGCCTCATGAACGAATCTCTCATGGAAGCCAGATGGCTTACAAAGAACCTCCGTCTTGGAAAAGTCAATGGCATGTGAGCCTACTGAATTAGAACAATGATCTGCTACGGCCGAGGTGTTGGTCCTACCGTGTTTAAGGTATGCTTTATGTTCACGAATGCGGTCCGAGATATGGCGTTTGGTTTCTCCAATGTAACTACTACCAAGAGGCAACTTAGTTTGTAGACACCAGGGTATTGTATGTCCGGAATCACATCTTTTACAGATGGAACCAGATCACGGATTTTATGTAATGTGTTGAAACGGACCTGGATCTTGTGTTTATTCAAGATTTTGGAGATCTTTTTTGTGATCCCAGCAATGTAGGGTAAAGTGATGGTTTTGAAAGGCTCCTCAAGAGGGTTCTTCATGGTTTGAGTGATAGCTTTGCGGATTGTATAGTCGGAGTAACCATTAGCCCTAAGAGCTTGGTGTACGTGCTTGAGTTCACTGCTTATGTGTTCCTGGTCGGATATGCATTGGGCTCTATGATACAGAGTCTTGATGAGAGAATTCTTCTGTGATGGATGGTGGTGGGAATCCGGTTTCAGATAAGCATCCGTATGGGTAGCTTTCCTGTAGACAGAGTGGCTCATTGAACCATCAGGTCTCTTTTTAATTAGGACATCCAAAAAAGGTATCTTGCCATCTATTTCGACTTCCATGGTAAATCTGATGGCTGGGTGTATGGAATTGATGTGGTCGAAGAATTGGTCTAGAGCAGGCCGGCCATGTGGCCAGATGACAAAAGTGTCATCCACGTACCTCTTCCATAAGGTTGGGCGCAGAGTGGCAGTCTGGATGGCGTCAGTCTCAAATTTCTCCATGAAAATGTTAGCTATAACTGGAGAAAGGGGGGAGCCCATTGGGGTGCCCTCAGTTTGTTTGTAGAAAGTTCCATTCCAAGTGAAGTATGTATTGGTTAAACAGTGTCTCACCAGGGGGGGTACCTCAGTGTTTAGTCCTTGATGAACCAAGTCTTCAATGATTGCAATGGTGTCAGGTACAGGAACCTTGGTGAATAAGGAAACTACATCAAAACTGACAAGCAGGTCGTCTGGGGACAGGGAAATACCCTTGATTGTTGATACCAGGTGAGTAGAATTTTGTACCGCAGAGGTGGTCTTTCCAGTGAAAGGACGCAGGATTTCAGACAAAAAACGAGCTAGTTTGTAGGTGGGGGAGCTGATAGTAGAGACTATGGGACGAAGAGGTGTATCAACTTTATGTATTTTTGGTAAGCCGTATAATCTTGGTGGCCTGGCAGCAGAAGGTTTCAACGAAAACTGTTTAGATTGATCAATTAATGCGGTTGAATCAGAAATTATTTTGTTGGTTTGTGTGACGAGGCTGTTGGTGGGATCTCTTTTTATTTTTGTATAACTACCATCGTCGAGTAATTCTTTAATTTTGTTGTTGTATTCTATTTTATCCATGATAACAGTAGCATTGCCTTTGTCAGCTGAGAGAACTACAATATCATTCCTCTTTTTTAATTTATATAATTCAAAACGCTCATCTTTGCTGAGGTTGCTAGCTGGCATCTTAGCGTTTTTGAGGGTTGCAGCGATTTCAGATCTTGCTACGTCTGCAGCGATGTGACCCAGGCCCCTGAGAGCAACGTCTACTTGGGCAATTATATCATTAACTGGTATGTGTTTAGGTGTGACTGCAAAGTTTAGACCTTTAGCTAAAACGGATTTCAGACCATCAGAAATAGAACTGTTACTGCGATTAATTACGACTTTATTAACGTCTAACTTTTTGGTGTGTGGGTCCGGTCTTTTGTTGAAGAGGAGGTTAAATTTGGAAATCAGGTTTTCCTTACATTTGGTCGACATAGTAGCAGCTGAAGAGGCAGTCATATTGTCTACATGTTCCCAATCCGATGTGGACATTATTGCCGTCAATGATAAGTGTGATTTGTAGAGTGTCTTGTCTAACTGATCTAGTTCTGTGCGTATAAGTCTGATTTTTTCTGAGATAAGAGCTAAGCTAGTTTTGAAAAGAATTCGTTTCGCATTAGAAGAAGTTACAGTAGCAGAGGTGAGTGTAAATGCGATTGGTATTACCCCAGAGTCGCGGCATCTCTTCAGGAAGGTGAGAGACTCGATCAGCTGAGCTTTCTTATCCCGGAGTTTGTTGAAGGATCTTAAAGTTATGTGAAAACCCTCCCCGTAGAGGCGATTAAATTTTGATTTAAAGCTTTCGTGACTGCAGTAATTCATATTCTTAGTTTTTTCGGTAAAGTCACGTTGAAGAGAAACAACAAAACAACAAAATATATATAAAACAATAAAAAAAATTCTCACGACGTTTCGACCATAACTCAAACGGTCATCATCAGGTGTGTCGGTTTGCATAAATTTATTTTTAAAAACGGCATATTTATTTATTTATATATATATAAAAATAACGTTTGCGTCACGCGCAACGATTGGCTGTTTGCCAGGACTAGTCCATCTATTTTTTGAAAAGAGGAGGGGGAGACGAAATTTGTTTTTATGTATGCTGTCTGAAAGCCACTGTAAGCGTGAACAATCAATCAAGAACTGAAATGATTTATCAAATCTTTCCAATGATTGCTAAGATAGAATCCATCTTCTCGGTTGAAATTGTCTCTGTGTTTGTATATGTGGATAGCCTCATGAACGAATCTCTCATGGAAGCCAGATGGCTTACAAAGAACCTCCGTCTTGGAAAAGTCAATGGCATGTGAGCCTACTGAATTAGAACAATGATCTGCTACGGCCGAGGTGTTGGTCCTACCGTGTTTAAGGTCTGCTTTATGTTCACGAATGCGGTCCGAGATATGGCGTTTGGTTTCTCCAATGTAACTACTACCATGATCTGGTTCCGTCTGTAAAAGATGTGATTCCGGACATACAATACCCTGGTGTCTACAAACTAAGTTGCCTCTGTGGTAGTAGTTACATTGGAGAAACCAAACGCCATATCTCGGACCGCATTCGTGAACATAAAGCAGACCTTAAACACGGTAGGACCAACACCTCGGCCGTAGCAGATCATTGTTCTAATTCAGTAGGCTCACATGCCATTGACTTTTCCAAGACGGAGGTTCTTTGTAAGCCATCTGGCTTCCATGAGAGATTCGTTCATGAGGCTATCCACATATACAAACACAGAGACAATTTCAACCGAGAAGATGGATTCTATCTTAGCAATCATTGGAAAGATTTGATAAATCATTTCAGTTCTTGATTGATTGTTCACGCTTACAGTGGCTTTCAGACAGCATACATAAAAACAAATTTCGTCTCCCCCTCCTCTTTTCAAAAAATAGATGGACTAGTCCTGGCAAACAGCCAATCGTTGCGCGTGACGCAAACGTTATTTTTATATAAATAAATAAATAAATATGCCGTTTTTAAAAATAAATTTATGCAAACCGACACACCTGATGATGACCGTTTGAGTTATGGTCGAAACGTCGTGAGAATTTTTTTTTTATTGTTTTATATATATTTTGTTGTTTTGTTGTTTCTCTTCAACGTGACTTTACCGAAAAAACTAAGAATATGAATTACTGCAGTCACGAAAGCTTTAAATCAAAATTTAATCGCCTCTACGGGGAGGGTTTTCACATAACTTTAAGATCCTTCAACAAACTCCGGGATAAGAAAGCTCAGCTGATCGAGTCTCTCACCTTCCTGAAGAGATGCCGCGACTCTGGGGTAATACCAATCGCATTTACACTCACCTCTGCTACTGTAACTTCTTCTAATGCGAAACGAATTCTTTTCAAAACTAGCTTAGCTCTTATCTCAGAAAAAATCAGACTTATACGCACAGAACTAGATCAGTTAGACAAGACACTCTACAAATCACACTTATCATTGACGGCAATAATGTCCACATCGGATTGGGAACATGTAGACAATATGACTGCCTCTTCAGCTGCTACTATGTCGACCAAATGTAAGGAAAACCTGATTTCCAAATGTAACCTCCTCTTCAACAAAAGACCGGACCCACACACCAAAAAGTTAGACGTTAATAAAGTCGTAATTAATCGCAGTAACAGTTCTATTTCTGATGGTCTGAAATCCGTTTTAGCTAAAGGTCTAAACTTTGCAGTCACACCTAAACACATACCAGTTAATGATATAATTG